AGCAGATTTACAAACCTGAATATCGCTTCAGTGCACAGAAACAATCTGGAACAATAATTCTGTACCTTTCTAAATGCAGTTTTCCTCTGTTAGAGCTCACTACAGGCGAGGTTTATGCCAGTACAGAGGGCTTCTCTGCATCACACTCTGGTACGTGGGCCAGGTGTGTGTCTGAGGGGGAACCCAAAAACCATCAAGCAAAACAACAGCCCCTTCAGTCTGCAAACTTTATAGAAGAGGATCGAAGTGTTGGAGCTCCTGGGCTCCGCTGACCAGCTGTGGCAGGAGGAAGGTCCATTTTCTTACTCCTTGCTCCCTGCAATAAACCCAGCTTAGGTTTTCTTTAAAGGACAGGCTTCACCTTACAAAGCGTAAGGTTCCAGCATCCTGCCTGAAAGAGTCCATTATTGCTCGAGAGTTTTGCCTGGCTTCCCGTGTGCTCCCGGGAGGCAGTGCCGGACACGCGACCCCTCGCCAGCTCCCGAGGACCCAGGTCCATGCATCCAGGCAACAGCTCACTTCTCGCTGACACCTGGGGTCAGGCCGAGGATGGTGCTTCAACATCAGCTTAGAGATCATGTAATGGAAGGGCAAAGGTTAGTTTCCTAAGGCTCTCCCTCACATAAGGAACCACTGTCAGCCAGAGCAGCCTTCTCACTTCAGCAGCAAAAAAAAAGAAAAAAAGAAAAGAATCCCCTGTGATCACCATTTGTCTCTACATGTTAACTGAAAATATTAACAGGCTGCAAGGGTATGAAGGATAGAAATGGTCTGGAGTGAGGATCAGAGCCTCAGCTGCACCTACGCATGCCTGAGCACTCGCACACGAGCTGATGCACGACAGCCACCCAGCAAACCCAAAACCTGAGGCAGCGCTGGCTCCGGGCTGTCACACTGAGAGCTGCAGCTCAGGTTGCAGGGACACAAGCTCAGGAGTTTCTGAAGAAGGGGGATCAGATGAAAGGCAGTAGGGCTTTACATCAAGCTGTGTTTTGCCCTGTTGCAGGATAAGACAATCATCACTAAGTCGTTTCCCCTTGCACCCTTTGTCCTGTCTGTTTGGAGCACAAACTTTCTGGGACAGGGACTGCACAATGAAAGACAGTCCCTACACCAGTGGGATCCAGTTTCTGCGGGTCTTGCAGATAATATCACAAGGCAAATAGCTCCGCTCCTGCCCTGGAGGCAGTCTTGTTATTGACCTCTCTTGATCAGATCTGGGCAGTAACATGGGGTGGAAGATAACCTTTTTTCCCCCTACGTGAACAAAACAAGCTATAAAGAAATGCAAATTTGGTGCATTCCTTCATCATCTCACTTCATCCGGTAAAACAAGATAAAAGCTTAGAAGAAATGCTCAGTACCTCTTCTCTTCCAAAACACTGTACCTCCACTCTTATTAAAACCTTACTTAGCATACTGGCTAGGCAGCCAGCTCTAATCTCATCTCTGATATTTGTGTGTAACGCTCATTAAGCTCAAAAGGAGTCGCATATGCAAGTACTTTTACATGCCCTTTAAAGGCAGAACAAATAAACAGAGGGCTGTAGTGTTTAAGCATACATTATTCTGTATACTGAAATTATGCATTTACTTCTCCTTAGCTCCTGGGAACAGACCTTGGGTTCCTATTTGCGCTGCCCACCACATTTACCTTCCCCCTTTGGGACTGGTTTGAGCATTGTAGGCTTGTTTCCCTATGAGATTTTTCTGGTATTTTTTTCTGCCCTTTGTTCATGGCTTTCATGTTACAAGGCAACAGAACTGTAAGAAGACAGAAAAACGAAATGTGAATACGGTACTAGGGGAGAAGAAAAACCTCCATCTGGTAAGAAAAAGCCCGCTGTCAAATGTGCCTTTGTTTACATAAACTTCTAAAGAAATGGAGTTGAAACCTGGAGACATGTATGAAAGAAGGTCAGGTAAGAAAATAGTTTTAAAAATCTCTTAAGATATTAAAAGCTCCTGTTTATGAAGGGAAAACACAGCAACTGCGGGCTTAGTTCTTAAACCCGGAAGACAAGACATACTGCATTCAAACTGATGACATTTAAAATAATTCCTCTACACCTTTGCAAATGCCTTCTACAGAAATGCAGCTAGAGGACATCCCTCACTTCTCCCCAGTATCCTCTGTTCCCCCTCCAATCTGCCATCCCCCTTACAGTGCCTATAATGCTTTGAGATAAAGGCAACTGCCAAAGGGCAATTTCATTCAGTTCACCCAAGGAAATAGAGTAAAACCTTGATTCTGGCTGGCCAACCTCCAGCTATGCCATGAGAGAAAACAATTCATCACCTAAAAGGCTTTATACTTTACCCCAAGTAACTTTGGTTAACATGTTAGAAATACTGCTGGTATTTCCAGAACCTACTCTGATGTGACGTTATGGCATTTAATAAGATTACTACTTCACGTCAGCAATAAAATCCTTAAGAATTTAAGACCAACAAGCCATCAGGTGAGAAAAGTGTTTTTTCTCTTCTTCCAAACTGTATCATACTGCTTTTATCAAGGAAAAAAAGCTTCATGTGCACAGATATATATGCGGTCAAATACCTACTAATATTAATATCCTCCTCATTCTATCTCACATCTTTGTGCCTCTTTGCATTCAGCCTGTCTTCTCCTTTATTCCCACCATGGTCTCCACTCCAGTAAATCCATACATAAGTACAGAAAAGTGTACTTCAGGCACAGGAGAAAATTAAAAACCCCAAAAAGGACAGTGAAAACACGGAAATCCTAAAACTTTCTCCCCTAGTTGCTTGAAAGTTGATGTTGGCCCTTTTCAAAAATAAGTTTCAGATTTCTAGGAAAAGGAGTTGGAAACACTGCAGAGTGATCCTAAACGCGCTCCTCAATGCTCTTCCTCTGAGAGGAAAGGAAGAAGACGCTGGGGAGAGAAATAGGATGTAACCAGGAGGGACCAGTGTGACTTTGACACCTCTGCAGCTCCTGCCCAAGTATGGAGAAGGGAACTACTGGGAAGTTCCATGCAATTCGGGAAGAAGAAATGCTGAGGATGAGAACTGGTTTAAGCCACAGTTCATTCATAAATGTCTCATGAGTGTCATTTTTTGGGAGGCAATTTTTCCCCCTCTCTTATGCACACACTGCAAATTTCTGTAATGTTTATTATCGGAATCAACCTCCTGAAATCAGGAACATCACCGATAGAGGTAAAAACCTTCAACAATCAAACAAATCACCACCTCAAAGACCTTTTTGCTACTGCAAACACTCCAGCCAAAAATAAGAAAGTTTCAGAAGCACTACTCCATAGGAATTTAAGAACTCTTTTTAGCTAAATTTTCATGCTTCACAGGGATATCAATAAACTAGAAAAAGAGAAAAATCGCAGATTTTTACCTAAATATTTTAAAATGTTAATTTAAAGGACAAAATGGAGATTTCTAGAAAAGGAGGGAGATGAAAATCCTTTGGAGTTTATTGTGCACTCAACAGCACTTTTAGAGTTTACTGTCTTTGCAGGCTTAGAAGAGGATTTGCCAGCTCGCTTCACTTTTCGAAGAGGCTCCAGCCAGAAGACTCAGGGCCATTGTACTGGCAGATTTACAAAATGGCAGAAATTGGCACTACCCCTAAAAGAAGGGCCTCGGGCACAAGCTGAGAAGGTGTAAGAATGGAGGCAGAAGAAGGCTGCCCAACAGCCAGCGGGAAGCCCAGCAAAGCCGTGAGCTGGTCTGCAGAGCTAAGAAGCCTAAGAAGCCAGTGCTGTTCCCCTTATATCCTTCCCCAAGAAAGCTCTTCTACACCAGACAGGACATAACCCGATCCTAAAGCAAGTATCTGTGGGTTTGTTCTCTTAGAAAACTCGGCAAAATTACCCACCTGGGTGTCCCCACACAGCGTGCCCACGCCATACAGGCTGTGTGTTGTGCTCTAAGTTCTTAACTGATGGCATTTAGGCTGCAAAGCTAAGACCTCCGAAGTTCAGAAAGTACAGTGTACAAAATTCATACCCCTTTCTCTGCACGTGAATGCGGACACTGGCTTCAATCAAGTAATTTCATAACGTTTTTCTCTCTTAGGACTGCCACATATAGGTAGGATATGACAAACAATAATTTTTTTCTGAAGACAACTTACATTCTTTGGACATTCCCACTTCAAAGCACTTCTGTAGTCTGCAGTACTGGCAGCGATTTCTGGTAACTTTATTGATAACACAGTTTTTATCTCTGTGACATGTGTAAACCATGTTTTTCTGGATACTCCTGCGGAAAAAGCCCTGAAATCAAGGAAAAAAAAAAAATCAAATGAACATTTGAGCTTCCCATAACCTTTAGAGACAGGCACTAACTTTGTTTTAAAATAACAATAAATTCAAAGTTATGGCTGGAGTATGGCATCTTTAAAGACTAACTCTTATTATAATTTACCACTGTTTCTTGGAATATAAGACTCATCTCTTAAATAAAAGCTAATTGAATAATGCAACCTAAGGCCAAATTAAACAAAACTAGAACTAGTAACAGCATTCAGGAAATGAAGTCCTAGATTTTACAAGAAAGCTCAAAGAAAAATGGTTTAGGCTTATGGACGTAGTAACAAGTTGGGTAAACAACAACCTTCTCAACGATCCACTTACAAGTCAAACACTCATTCAACAACCGACAGCCTCATTCAGCCTGAAGGTCCTATTTCTGTTACTGCTGAGATTCTCTAGTTCGAAGGTTACATGTAAAAAGAGAAATAATTTGAAACTCAGGTCTCTTAGCTGCTGGACCTGCAACAGCAATTAATGAGGCTTCTGCAGGTGGAAAAGTTCCAGCATCAGGTTACTGAGTTGTGAAATTGTTAAAGTTGCCAATTATAGCATTTTTTTCTTATTCCAGTACAGCTGTGAAAATAATCAAGTAATTAAAATGCTCTTGAACAGAAATTACAGAAAACTAGAGGTCTGGTTTGTACCTAAGGAACACCATTTGACTGGATTCCTCCTTTGGCAAGTAAAAGAGAGAAAAACAGCCATAAATGGTAAGGTTAGCTGGCACAGAAAAAAGGCAAAGCCAAGTTAATTTCTTTATCTGCACTAAACCCCAAGCTTGAGATAATATCATATGTACTAATGAAGAAAGAAAAAGAGGATGATTTTAAGCACAGATATTCAGCAAAAGTATTTCTGCAACAGACATTTGGAAATTTGGCAGCACTGTTTAACCTTCTCACTCAGATTTTGAAAATTGTTTCAGTGCAAGCACGAGGGTCAAAATTCAGTCAACAACGCAGTACTATGGAAGAATAGTTAACAATTTAATATTTGTTGGAGGACTCGAGAGGTTATAACTCTTCAACCAGCCACATGTTTACACCGTACAGGAAAGTGGTAAACTTGGTAACGCAGACTGTAGCTCTGTGCCCACAATGCATTTGTCTAAAGATGCAATCACGGTGAGCTATAAAATTGGCTCTCCTAGAAGCACTCACCAAGAGATGCAAGTAGTTCAAAAGCCCAAAACGCTACCGTTCAGAGTTAACTGGGAGTTTCTGGCCGTACAATCAGGGAGTGGCAGGGCAGGCACAGTCAGTAAGGGCTGGTCATAAATTCCTTGCACGCCCGACATGCTATACATGCTAACGTTCTGAAAATATCTCAAATTCACTCAGAACCGAAAAATGCCTCCTTAATCACGTAACCTCTGGCAATATCTTGCACAGGCAAGTCTCATCCTGAGGTTAGCTCCTCTGATTTAGGAGATACTTAATACTACCATCAGAGAGGTAATCAAAAACTCTTCTTTCCTTAAGCTACTGGATACAGAAGAAGAATTTAAAGCTATTTGTTTATACAATTAAAACCTGCTGTTTTATATTCCACACTTTTGATCATTAACGCACTCCTTAAATCTTTGCAATGCAAAGTACGGCGAGCATATGTATTTTCATTTACTTGCCAAGAAGATGATTTATGGTAATATTCACTTACTACTTTCTTGCTTTGATATTCCTCTAATTGCAATGCCCAGCTCTGCGGTAATTGCTGAGGATGTTAATCAGAACTGTGAGAAGACTGTGGCACCTATTTTTAGTTTAATTCAACAGGCAGAACATGTGAGATGGGCTAGTTCTAGGGTCTCTATATGGCTTATTCATCACCACTTTTTAGCTGGAAAGGGACCAGGGAAGCCAAGACTCGTAGCTTCCTCTGCAGCCACCCCAGCATAATCCAGCACGTAATCCACACCCACAGCCACCAACGGAGTAACTCTCCTACCACCAGCCTGACCGGGTAAGAAACAAAATGGCTCAAAGGAATAAAGATGACCCTCTCGTGCAGCAACTGTCTCACCACGCCGAAACCCTAGGGTAATTTAAAGAAACCAGCTCCCAAAGCCTTCTCTTCACCTGCACAAGCTTTGGGGCAGGGGCTGCTGTGCAACCATGCTCAAGAGACTCCTGGTTTACTGACACAGGCACCAGAAATAGAAGCTTCAAAAGTGTCGCCCAATGCAGGGAAGAGGAAAGAGCCTCCTCCAAACATACCTGTACTTCACCAAAATATAACCAGCAGCCAATGGTACCCACTGATTGATCGGTTGTTCTGATATTTAGATGCAGGTTCTACATCCTTTTAACCTAGGGTTTAATTACAGGCCAGCAGGAAGGAAAGCAGAGGAGGCTGACTCAGTCCTTACCATACAAAGTTGACGACACAGCCCAACAGAAAAAGGTGATCCAACTTCTGCAGACAGTAAGTGTAAACTCATTACTAATATAATAGGCTTAAGAAGAAAAAACTCAGAAAAAAGCAGATCTCCAAGTGGAAATGAAAACAGTTTTTTCAACAGCCTAACCTCCCCAGGCAATGTCCTGCACAGAGTGAAAGATAATAAATGAGGACATTAATTGTGGAAGCTTAGACTGTTGTTTTACAAATTACTTTTTAACATCTGTATTTGACTTTCTTCCTTGAGTCACTCACGAAAGTAAAAGAAAATGTAAACTGTTTGTATAAAATATTCAGGTAAAAAAAAGCTATAATGGGGTCCTGC